ATAAGTAATATGAAGTAAATAAAAATGATATCTCTTGGATGTCATTATATACAATTTAAAACACAACGTAACTGATAAAGTGATAGCGATTGTAGTATTAGCACCTTTAAGAGAATATAAATTAACCCAAACTAGAGAAATGTGTCCGAAACACGGGTGCCAATAAACACGGTTGCTATATATTTTACCGAGATTGAATGAATAAATTAATAACCTGTCTCGCCTCTAGGCCTCATCAGACGGATGAGAATTCTTTATTCTTTAATGAAATCCAGGCCTTAATAAGACAGAGCTTTCACGAAAATTAAGAAATATTTAGAAATAAAGAAAGGCGAGTGGATAATCATTTACTAAAATAAGTGCAGGACCTCACTTCTTCAAAGAATCAAACATATGTAAATAATAGAAAACACTTTATGGCATTATCTGATCATTTTTGCTATTTCAAGTGGGAATAAAGTGAAGTCGAGACATTGTTGACACAGAACGTTCAGTGTAAATATGTCGCCGATATGCCAAAGACAGAAGCAAGTTTCTTGTCATTTCTTACAGTTTTAAATCGATTATGGCGCACTAGGGGATTAGTAAAATCTTTTTGGTAACCTTTCATATCAATAAACCTCGACCTGGTGTTGTCTTTAAGATGTTTTTCCTCCTATTAGACTCCGCGACGTGACAGTGGCGACACCTCCCGTGATCAAAATTTATAAATGGTAGATTTTACGGCCCTAAAATTCAATTCTCTCAACAAAGCAGAAATAAATCTACCACACACTTCAAGTATTCAGGATTAAGAATGAAACATATATTTAAAATTTTTAGCCGATTGAAAAGGTCAATAAAAATCGCACCAACCGGCGCAGGAGAGTATATAATTAAAATCGTCATTACCCTCGTTCATTTATGTGGCAGAACATATTACACACATCTAATTCGCTCGCACGCTTCAGTACTTACATAACGTGTTTATTTCGATGGGTAATAAATTTTGTGTTATCTGATAGCGGAGTATCAACCGGTTGGTCGCTATCGTTTTTATATCAAAACTTTTAAATGATTTAATGAGTTCAAATCTAAATAATCAAAGTGATGACTCACTATGACCATAATGTTTACAAATGCATATAATTAAGGTGATCAAAAATGTGCTAATTAGGAACCTTAGCGTATTGCAGGTGGAGCTCTTTTTTGTGTGTCAATTAAAAAAATATCTGTATAATGAAGATATAAAATAAATATACAGTCTTAAATTCTTCTTTTTGATCCTTGACAAGGGCAAATGACTCAACGGTGACCATGTCTAAAATTATCAGATCAAGGGGGTACATATGTTAGAGGGAGATAGACCAGGAATGTTAAGGGGATTCAAGAAAAATTCCCAAGGACCTGGGCACAACACACTTGAACCATTTTTTATGAACCATTACCTTAAATTTTTGGTATTTAGACAAATTCCGTTGTACAAAGACAAATGCATGTACCAAACAGACACCGTTTATAGTATAGTTAACACGAAACCAAACACCACAATCACCCGCAGACAAAGAATGCGTTTCGCTGTTCATAGAACAATAACTGGGTATTTTACTTTTTGAAATTAGAATTTTAACATTAAACTGAAGTAAACGATTTGAAGAATAAAAAGGCGTAAAATCTCCGGTTATTGAAATCTGAAGAGCGATATTATTGTCAAGTATTGTACGAGCGTGTTGTCAAATGTAGAGTTTTTCTCCTTAAGAGGAACGTTCGCGCCAGTGAAGAGCCTGTATCTGTCAAATATGGTCTCCCCCTGATATGATGAAGAGATTATTTGTCCTGATTGATAGATATAACGACCCTTTGTGGCGTCAAAGATTATTTCCTCGCCGTACCATCGTATTCTCTACAGAATAAAGGTCTGACAAATAATGAAAGCTCCTTCAAGATTTGTTTTGAATCACTGGAAGCAAGATTACCAAATACAAGTATACTCGTATTCTGGTTTTATTTCTTATTTTTTTTACTATCAAGTGATTTCATTTCCTTTCTCACTGACGTAATAGAGATGTTTTGAGTTTCATTAAAATAAGAGACTGAAAAACATGGAATTGAGGATGTTATAATTTGTTTCTATACTGAAATTGAATTCTTGGTCTCATTTAATACAACTACTCCAGCATAAATTAAAATCTTAAAGCGACCTCTTCTTTTCATAATAGATTCAACTATAGTGCTTATGTTTTTTTTCTATGAATCCATGAATTTTCAGAAATAATAGGAAACTTTATATTTCTGAAATTTCAATCTTGCTTTAAACATTCATGAAGAAAAGCTTTACATGTAGTGATATTACATTATTATACACACTACATGAACATGTATAATGCATTTGAGTCTAGTGAATAAAATCCGCACTTCCAGGATCGGGATGAAGGGCTGACACGTAGGTTTAGTTAATGCATTATGGATCTAGTCCTTTCCCGTATTCTCACATAATACACAGAATTACGGAACAATTTCATTGTTAATGGCCTGTTCACACGTCACCTCTTACCCATGCGAAAGGGGACAAAATCGCTTCTCAAGGCCACGGAGGAGTCACTTTTAGAAAACCCTGCTGTACACGCATAAATTATGCAATTCAATTGAACAGATTTGCTTTTTACTTTGCATACATTTGGCGCCAAAAGAAATCGATCTGTGTTAAATTCATGGAAGGGTAATCTAAGTTTCCATGAGACAATATCCAGTTTACAAAAGAAGAAATTTCCTTTCCTCTCTTTGTTCTCCGTTGCCTCATGATACAGGAAGAAAGCGTTGATGAATTACACCTGTAATCAATTTCAGGATTCAGTATTTACCAAACAAAAAGTTAAATTCTGTTCTAACGTGGATCGTTATTTCTTGCCAAAATTCTCTCCATTATAATTTGATTTAATTTTTTAAACATTTATTGTGATAAGAAATCTCAAAAATAACGTGTAAGCACGTACAATGTAGTATCGGGGATGATTATTTTCCCCTCAAAAAATATGAAAACGTTCGAAGTATTCACTTTTTTATACAATGAAAGCCTACCATGTAAATGTACACGTATTAAAAATCGCTTGTAAAATGAAATAACACCATCCCACCCCACCCACCCTCCGCACTAACGACATGTTCAGAATGCCCAATTTCGACTATCCTAATTATTATTTGTTTGTCAAAGATTTTTTTAAGGTAAGTTTTCTATTTTTTTTTTCAAGCTACCCTCCGTGAAAAAAAAAACAAAAACACGATACTACATTACATAATACATGCATACATAATACATCCCCTTTTCAAGCCGATTTTCCCCTCCTCTTTCTTTTTGAAAGAGTGGACCTGGGTTAGTTTGAAAATTTGCAATTTCACGGAACGATTTTAAGAAACGAAAAAAAAAGTTTCGTAATTACATAAACTACTCACTGGTGGTGATTGTATATACTGGAGAAAACAAATTGAACGAAGGGTTGGGAATGGAGGATTGGTAAATATAATTTGTATTCCGTGCTAAAACTTGGTCTATCCTTCATGAATAAAAAAAATCCCAGTATTAAAGTAGATACATATAATTTAACTGTTGAAAACTATTCTCGAAAAGAGACAAAAATAAAATTAATAGATAAAAAAAATGGACATCATAGAAAGTGGCAGATGAAGTTATCATCAAAGCAAATTCGACCCTACAAATACAGTATTTTTTTACGAGTTCAATTCAAGGTACAGGAAGGAATTTCTTGCTATTTTTAATGTTTTATATAATAACACTTATAAGTATTTTAACAGCGGATTCATGTATTCATTTGTTTTTCCTTTCATATGTTGATGGTTCATTGTCACAATAAAAAGATTACATTAATTTAAATGTGATCTCAGCGAAATTGGCTTTGTTATGATATTTCACCAATATAAACTTCTCTGAAATGAAATTATAAATAGAGTCCCGAATTTTAGACTCATTTGAAGGGTCTTCAACCTTTTTCTGTCCATCAATCAAATTTTATTGGTGGAATCATTAGTAGAGTATCCCAGACTAGGTCCAGACGCCATTTTCCGTCCAAGCCGTGATTTACTGAATCTTTGGCAATAACTCATGGCAACACCATCCTATCGTCGTCTTTATCAGTCCCACAGAGCTGCGCCGACGCCACTTTATGAAGATGATAAACATTTATTACAGTCCGACTATAAAAGACCCAATAGTCCATGTTCATATTTTCTTTAAATAAAACGCGTAAATATGTCTTATCAGACTCCATCGAAATGTTAAAGTCGTGAAAGTGTCAAGTAATTAAATAATGGTGAACATGTTTTGAAAAGTGAATCGGAATGGGTTGACTTGATTATCGCATGAAGAAAGTAATGGAGATAAACCTAAAGTAGTAAATTATAAATTTCAAATAAATACAAATGGATGGTCAAATATATAGGCCTGGTGATCGAACCTTTCTGTTTTATATTTTCATATTTTACCTTATTTGATTCTAGAAATGTCACAGGTCGTTATTAATGAAATTACACACATTTCCGCAGTCCACAGGAAAAATGACTAGGAAAATTTGTCATTTTTTTCTAAAATAAATAAAATGAAAATGTCAACGAAAATCTTAACTGAATAAATGAACTGGCATTAAAAAATCCTCAACTCTAGTAAAGACAGAGGATAGAAAAAAATACTTTAGACATACATGTATTAACATGGTGATGATTGTTTTACTCTGCCGTTCTCCTATTGACATATTAACAAAATATACTGCTCTTAAAATCTTGTTTAAAAAATGTTTTATCACTTTAATTTGGAAATGAACTGACAAAAGTTTTTTCAATAATAGTGAAAAGTAATGGGCCTATTTGTCCTACAGGCATTGCGAAACGCGAGATAACCGGGGCTGAAATCTCGACGGCCAATGAAAAACAAAGACGTAGCTGTTAAATTCCTTCTCATTCAAACGTTTTAAGACATTTAAAAGAAACAATTTAAATCTCGGTACGTGCTCAAACGCGGATGGTAAACAAACCCGTAACAACATGCTCCATTGCAGACGACTAAGAGAAAGTGAAAGAAGCCATGGCCGTGAAAAAATGCATCGTCTTTATGTCTTTGTTGTCACAGGTGCTTGTCCAAATTCAGGGAAATTCCCGTGACCTTTTGGACGAAATGTTACAGGATGGGGAAGCCGGAAACATGGAGGGAATGTTTGACAAAGTCGGAGACATGTTGGGGGAACTTGTAGATTCATTAGACACCATCAACAGTCCATGCAGATTTAAGTGTCCAAACGGTATGTGTAAATCTGGCCTAAATCTGTTTCTTTTAAAAACTCACGACCATTAAAAAACTTGCTACATTCTTTGAAAAAAACTAATAATGGACAAATAGAACAATATTTATTAAATATATCTATTATTTATTACCCAGTAATAAAAATGACGTGGCGTGTTACACTGTATATACTGGATAGTACGTATTATCAAATATATTATATTACTATAAAAGCTGATATACGTATTTGCCATTTTAAATGAATCAAAGAGATTGGAATCAAGTTCTTTAAACTAGTCACTCAAATACAGTATTACAATGTCATGCAACTAAGATAATATACACAAGTAGACATAAAGATGTATAAGAAGTGATATTAGTAAATTCTAAAAATTATATCTCCAGCTTTCATCAATAAATTAGGGACAACAGAAAATCATTGTTACGTGCATTAGTGTGTAAACCCTTTACAAAATTATCATCCCCCATTTTTTCATTGAAGGCTCTAAAACATGACATTTTATAGCCATATCACAAGTAAAATATGTGTACATGTACTTTAAATAAAACCCCAAAACAACAGGAAGAAAAATACATGGAGTCAGAGACATATGTATAATATGTACATTTTGTCTAGTAGTAAGCCCATTAAAAAGGGAAAAGATAAAAAAGAGTATGAAGTGATTTTAACAGTCTGTACCGTGTACTGCACTGGTAAGTTGTCAACTGAACAAGTGGACGAAAATTTAAGTAGGTCAGATGCAATACTTGGAATCTTAGTGACTTGTGTATCTATATAATTTGTTACGTGAATAGGAATTTGTCCCCATTTAACCTTGATACGCTATATGCTTCTGTGATTTCATTTGATAACGAGTAATAGTATATTTAAGTATTTTCAATTTCATTTTAGGAGTGATACCTAAAGAACGAAAAAATCACATTCGATCAAGTAATGGATGCGGAACATTTGGGATTGAGGTACACGTCATTTTTTGTCTTATAAGACTGCAAGAGTTACAGCGCTTTGTTCGAGAATCCGAAATAATAATATATTAATCTTTAAATCTGAGTAATTTTATCAATTTCAAACTGATTGTATTAATTGGTAAAAGTTAGAAAATATATTTGAAAGGTTAAACAGAGGATCAACGGTATTGAAGTCATCCCTCATCCAAAATTTAACAACAAAATATGAAATTAGAGTATAAAATAGAGATTAATTCTTGTATAGATTGACACCTCCTCTGTGCCTTTAATGACCTCGTGTTGTGATGAACACGATTTCTGCTATGACAAGTGTAACAACGACAAAGAAAAATGTGACAACGATTTCAAAACATGTCTACTAAAGATGTGTAACAAGATGAAGAAAGGGCTCCAAAGCGACGAATACGAGGGTAAGTGTTAAAATTAACGATCTGATTCATAAAGTGTAGCAAGTAGATCTTTTTTAAAAAGCTATCCGTCTTAAGCAACAACTGACCTATACCTAAGTCCTATCAGGACTCAGGATATATTTATTATTCTTGAGAATATCTTGGCTTTGTATTTATTCATTAGTTTTTAAATTTACTGGCATAAGGCCTGCAAACTGAAATGTTTGACCAGACGCTCGACTTCGACTCTGCTGCCGAAATCATTCGACAAAACTCGGCTGATTCCGTCAACTTCTTCAAGCAATAAATATAAAAAGAATAAATACAAGTTGTCGAGCTTGCATGATATAAAGATCAATTCTGTTTACAATGAAAATATATGAAACTTTTTTAATGACTGCCAATTTCACCTGTTCCTTTTGTCATATTTTTTACGATTGAAAATCTTGAAAAATTGTTAAGTCGTACGAAAATTAGATCATCAGTAAATTATCTCCCTTGCCTTGAGCGGCATTTCAACCAATGAAATAATTGCAATTTCCACCAATCACAAAAGAGAGGAAGTTTATATTCCGAAGACTGTAAAAACTTCAACTATGAATAACATCTTCCAATACAAGGAAAACGGTAAAAATTAACGAACTGATTCATAAGGTGTTAAAACTAAGGACTGATTCATAGAGTGTTAAAATTAACGCTCTGATTCATAGTGTAAAAAGTACTACTGGATATAGAAGTTCCCTGATTAATTATACAAGGATGTATATCAGAAACAGCTTGAATTGATAAGATACGTATATTATTTATCAACCTACAACGGAATCAATCAATTTTGAATGTATTTATATTAATAAACAAATATATTTTTAATAAATAGCAAAATATATTTCATTATATTATTTTCCATAAGGTTAGTGTTTCCGAATGTGCTTTCCATATCAACCAAAATTAAATGTAGAAAAACATATAATACTTACCTTCCTTAATTTCACCTAGGCAAATACCGATAGACATTCGGAAGAAAATGCATATTTCATAGTTAATATTGAATTTGATTTTTTTTTTTTACATTTGTTGACGCATAGCCGTATCTTTAGGAAAATGGAAAAAAGTGGAAAGAAACAGATAATCTAGATTTTACAAAAACAAAAAAATTACACATGATAAATTTATTAGTCTTCTGCTTACATGTACACACTAAAGACACGATTTCCTAGGACATATTTTGCCTCGGAGTTATTCCCCGTAGCCCATCTTGTAGGGCAAAGAAGTGTATTTTCCTCTTTGAGCAACCAATTGTAAACATGCATGCAAGAAATATATGGGGGGAAATATTTACAGTCTTAAAATTTTGAATTAATAGATACTTCTACAAACGTATATCCATAAGAAAAATAGTATTCTCTTTACCTCAGCTTCCAGTATAACACATTGAACTTGTTGAATAATAAAGTGAATTCAAGGGACCCGGGAATGTTGACCTACAATATGGCGGCCATGGGGAATAACTCTTGCTTAAATCACCTCAATGGAAAACACTCTATAGCTATTGATGTTACATTTTAGGATGTAAGGCCACTGCAGAGTTGATGTTCACAGGAACAAACATGTTGGGCTGTAATTCTTACAAAGAGGCTCAGGCAAAAGCTTGTGACTGTGGTTCTATAGACCAAGATACAGTAAATGATGACAAAGTGAAAGTGAACTCAGGAAAATCGACCTTGACCCACGAACGAAAAATCGTGAATGCTGAACCCATACCGGGAACAGAAAATGCTAGTGCTAGAAAATCTAAGAAATCTACCGAATCAGAAACATTATTAAAGGCCACTAAACTAAAACAAGAGGGGGATCATCGACACGATGACTTATGAAAGCAATTTGATTTATTATTTCATATTGTCATTCCATACTTTTATTTTTCTGTTCTTTGCATGAAAGTGTTCTGCCGAGACAATACTGTTCTGCGGAGACAATACTCTTTCTGAAATCATATTCTCTCAGTTAATCTAGTAAATCAAGTCCACTATAGGAAAACTAGATGTACTTGTAACGTTTGATGGGTAAAATACCTTTTTCTAGGAAGTGCCTTTACATGTTAGTAATTGTTTGTGATAAAATACTCTTAAGTTAAAAGCATGTTCTAATACATCGTTAACATTGAACCATTCTTCTTTAAGACATTGTGCAAGCCATTGTTTTCCGTGTATTTCTGCACTAACAGTTCAGAGTAGATATTACTCTGCCTTGAAATGACGAATATGATAGACAGTATTGAACAAAGTCCGCATAATTGCATAGAACACAATACGCATGATTACTTATAGCAGTATTACGCATTTATTGATTGTTCTACTCATTTACTTTGTATTAATTATCATGATTATTCATTTATTTTTTACACCCTTTTCAACGCAAACTTATATGTACCCTCCTACATGCACGTACAAGTGTAAATAAACAGAAACAGCACTTCGTCTGTTCTCTCGATGGTCCGTCCAGTTGTTCACTCTTGTGATCTTCCAGAATGCCATGGATTGTTACTTTATTATTGATTGTAATTGATTATTTCACATTTAATAAAATAAAGTATATGAATATAGAAATTCTTAGGTTCTTATAAGCTCACATGAACCAAAGGATCCAGTGAGCTTTTCTGATCTTAATTTGTCTTTCTAAACTTTCTAATTGAGAAATACTGAAATTTGGGTGTGTGTTTTTTATACTTACTAAAATTCACTGGGCAAGAAAAAATAAAACTTGAAAGTATTTACATTTTCCTGACATGCATACGTATAGTACTAGCTGCAGAATTGTTGCGTTAAGGTTTTATTTACAGTGTATAAGTAATTGGTCAAATGACCAATACATCACCTGATGTAGTTCTAGTGTATAGATCCTTTTCTTCAAATCATGGTCCCAGGGGTAGTGTGTAAATTCGGAAATATAAAACTTGGCTATTGTTCTGTTTGCCATTAAAGAAAAATTGAGTTCGTTCTATTTGAAAAGTGTACGTGTATATCAATTAACATCAACTGAATAGACATTAGCTTAGCAGAAGCAGATGAAATGAACATTTTCCACACCAGTATGCTAGAGTTACAACCTTAAGGATGCAAATAAATGTATGTAATAGAATCGATATTATAATACATTAACACATTAATTAATATGAAATGTAAATGTACGTGTTTTGGTCTGTTTCACTAAACAGAGAGTGTACGTTATCCATTTTGAAAGAAAAGTAAGTTGGTCTGATTATCAATAATCAGAAATATATGTAAACCACTTTAACTACACCGTGCTCACTGGACAAGAGGATAAAATTCTATGTCCAAAACAAATCTTCTTCAAGGTAAATGTAGTATACTATCTGGAAATACATTGTGTGTTAATGTCTTTTTATAAGTTTTACTGAAAATGATCAAATTATTTTAAAATACACATATACAAACCCTCTACCAAAACTGTGAAAGTTATGGTCCCTAGGTCAAAAATATCAGACATCAAAGTAGAACTGTTTATCATATTTTGAATTTAAAAAAATATTCTTGAAGAACATCCAGCATCGAAATTTTTAAAATTACGTCTCCATCTTCCAAGTTAACGGGTGGGGCTATGTAATGTTTATTTATTAGTACACTAAAATTAAAACGTTGAACGGTATCTTTAATCTTCAACAACCAGAAAGCTGTTTGCCTGATTGACAACTCTTTGAAAGTAAATTCGATATTTAGAAATGAAGTGCCAGATCAAGCGCCTATGCTTTATCAATTCTAAAAGTACTACTTTGAACATTATTTTTTATCTTGAACAACTAGGAGACAAATTGTTTGCATGATTGACAACTCTTTGTAAGGTTTTTTTCTCATTTTTAAAAATGAAGTGACAGGTCAAGCGCCTAATATTTTATGCCATATCAATTTCCCGCGGCTGTCATATATTTGACGTCAGTGGTCGTGGGAGGGGATTATGGAAATGAATATAAAAATTTTCACGTATTTTATATCAATAAATCAGCAAGTTTTATTTTAAGAACAAGGGCCTTTTTGAGGTCTTTTTTGGCCCTGGGAGTTTCTGAAAAATCAAAACTGCTGAGTTTTTATTATCATTTTGACTCTTTGTAACCGCGTACTATTGACCATGACGTAATTTTCTCTCTAGTAAATGAATTAGGACGTCATAATAAAAGGCGTCATTTCTCCATATCATGTAAATTGCTTTAAGAATGGCCATAAGTTGTAGTATTTTTTCACTATTTCATATAGAGGACAATTTCCGATTCAAAATTTTCATTTCACTTAAAATTGAAATATTCAGTTTTGTAAATAGCCAGGACATTGACAGCAAATGGATATGTTGGGTAAAGTGACGTTTCCAACAGTCGCATACCCTACAATCTACACGGTGATTCCTTAAATTGAGGATCCGTGAAATAAAACTGTTTAAAAGATATACATGTATTAGGGTGGTCAAGGTTAAAGATTGGAAATTTGTTGGTCAAACTCCAAGGTCAAGAGGTCAGATTTGGTGGTACGCAAAGAAAGGTCTTGTCACAATAAAATATAACTGTGAAATATGAAAGACTTAGCCCCACCAACTCAAAAGTCATGGGCAAGGTTGAAGTATTGGGGACAAACAGATAGACGGACGGACATACATGGCAATTGATAAATACTCCGGAATCTTATTCCGACTGAAAGGTCTTGACACAACGAAAAGTGACTTTAACCCATATTAAGTACAGTATTAAAGCTCAAAAGTCCAATAAACAATAAAAAGTAAGAGCAGAGCAAACACGGACATCCAAATCATCAGAGGTGGGAGCAGGTGTCATGGAGGAGTGAGCATCCCTTGCCGACCGGTCACACCCGCCGAGTGCGCCTTGTCATGATCGGGAAATAAGGGAAGAATCCGTCGACAATTCAAAGTGTAAATAATGGCCTAACAATTAGTATTGAAAACGTCAGTTAGCATTTGACTCAATGATAAATTGATGCTTACAAGGTCATTGTATCGACCATAGAACTTACGAAATGATGACTTTAAGGTATTTCCATCCTCCTATGATGTCATACATGTATATAGGTTTTTCTAAAAACTGTTATTAATTTAAGTTTATACCCAATAGAATAAAAGTTTTGAAAGAATGCTTTAATTTCATTAGGTGTAATGATAATATTGTTAATTAAAAGAATTTTAAATACAAAATTATATTTTCTTTATTTACGCAATCTTTCAAACGTGTCCACATGGGCAATAACTCCTCAGGTATCTTCATAATTATAGGTACTTTCTTCATAGTACTTCTAATGCAAAATAGTTTCCCTGATATTCACAATTCAAAATGAAAGAAAAAGTGAGCTAGCTCACATACCCCACGCTCCCCCAAAACTTGACGGTGAAACACATAATGAAAGGTACAGTGCACTTTAAATACATAGTATAGATCAAAAAGGGCAATAATTGCAAAAAAAATCTTCACATCAAAATGTCTTGCATATGAGGACATTTAAATGTGGAATGAAGTTTCTAGATAAATAATGGAATCAAAATTTCTTGGCATTATACAAATCCAAACATTAATTTGAAGTGGTTGGGGGGAGGGGAGAAATTTTCTTGAATAATAGGCAAAACTCTTTGGGATAAAATGATGGAATGTGTCCTAAATATCTGCATAGGTTGACGTAACTATGTACAACAGTTTAAGAGGAGTGGTGCTGACAAACTGTTCATCTCTATATTCAAAATATGGCCAAAAAGTCTAAGTTGGAAAGTGTGGAAATTCCCGGAAAAATAAAGGAATCGGAATTTCCTGGTAATATGCACATCTACACATTGTGTCCTCAATACCTGCAAAGTTTGACGAAATTCTGTGCAGCGGTTTATGAGGAGTTGCGCTGACAAACTGTTCATCTCTATATTCAATTAAGGTATGGCCAAATGCCTAAGTTAAAAAGTGCGGAAATTTCCGGAAAAAATAATGGAATCGGAATTTCCTTGTAATATGCACATCTACACATTGTGTCCGAAATACCTGCAAAGTTTGACAAAATTCTGTGCAGCGGTTTATGAGGAGTTGCGCTGACAAACTGTTCATTTCTATATTCAAGGTATGGCCAAATGCCTAAGTTAAAAAGTGCGGAAATTCCCGGAAAAAATAACAGAATCAGAATTTACTTGTAATATGCAAATCTACACATTGTGTCCTAAATACCTGCAAAGTTTGACGAAATTCTGTGCAGCGGTTTATGAGGAGTTGCGCTGACAAACTGTTCATCTCTATATTCAAGGTATGGCCAAATGCCTAAGTTAAAAAGTGCGGAAATTCCCGGAAAAAATAATGGAATCGGAATTTCCTGGTAATATGCACATCTTCACATTGTGTCCTAAATACCTGCAAAGTTTGACGAAATTCTGTGCGCCGGTTTATGAGGAGTTGCGCTGACAAAAAAAAAAAGGACTGACTGACTGACTGACGGACTGACGGACGGGTCAAAAACATTATACCTCCCGCAACTAGTTGCGTGGGGTATAATTATCTCATAAGTAGCACATATTTGGAACTTTCAGCATCAGAATGAAGCATTTGAACCAGTGTTTACATAATGTTTATATTTATTGTTTACAAAAATATGCGATTTTTTTTATGTTGACGTATACTTTTGTTTATTTTTGTGTCACATCCAAAATAATATGACAACCTTTACATTTTTGGCAATATAAAAACATGTGCTGCCCATAATGAAAATTTTGTGAATTCCTTTGGTGGAGCATTTTTATTTGATAAGTATTTCATTATGCTACCATGATTAAAAATATCGGACCATTAGGTACAAAATATGACCGTTATACATTGAATACCTTAATATAGTTTTAATTGACCAACTAAGTTATTGTACAAAGTAATTTGAATTTCAAAGAAATCTCTCAAGGTGAAAATATGCATAATCTAATATCTCTTTATTTAACTATGAATTAAAATGAATTACTAACGGCAGAAATTGTGAGAAATTATTTTTTCCTACTTTTCATCAAGGGCAGATAACTCTTCAAAAACCTTTAACTTGCAAAATGACCGTCTTCTTACACGTTATCAGTCTTTTAAATTTGGTTCATTTCACTTATATTGTTATCTAAAAATGCGTTTATCTAGTTTAAAATTATTTTAAATTCTTCAAAATCCTACATTATACATTGAATACCTTAAATAAAAATGTGTAGTCTTGTACTTTGAATCATTAAAATTGTGAGGGCGGACTGACCTTAAGCGAGACTGCTGAAATTTTTGTTTCATCAACTTGTTTGTCAGAAATTTAGCTCGTTTTAGAAATTGTACAAACGAAGAGCATGCTCTTGCATATCGCATCAAGAGATATAACCTTGTATGCAAGTGATGAAGGTACATGTATATTGCTGCATAAAAGGGGAAGTTGGCTATTGAAAAGTCATCAAGTTTATCATAAAGCTTGGTTGTTTGATTACCATTGCGTCTTTTTCAAGAAAAATATCCAAATATGAAACAGATCTGTCAGACTCACTGTGATATCTTTGATCTCAAGCTCTCCGGGATACAACGTTTTAACATAAGAATGGAAATAACCATTGTTATATTAACCTATTGTGTTTGTCGTGATTTACTGTATATAGCTTCTCCACAGGCACTTGTTTCGCATACGGGGCACCCCTACTTATTTTTACCACAAGGTACCTAACTCAATTTCAGGCATCGAATGAGATACACCAATTTCCGGTTGGGGTAATAGAGATGTAGGATAAAACCAGAAACATCCGAGTATTTCATTCTGAGGTCTCTGGTTTTATCCTTTATCTATAACCCCAACAGGAAATTGATTTATCATATCCGATGTCTTATTTTGTATCGAGATAATTTCTGAGGAATAAATGAGTGTTTTACAATAAAGAGTCTCGACCAGAGACTTCTGAAACGATTTGATTGACAAGAAAAAGAGTTAGGTACCTTTTGGTAAAAATAAGTAGGGTGCGAACAAGTAGGGTGCCCGGTATACGAACAAGTGCATGTGAGCTTCTCTCTTTTCTTGATTGGTGAGATGAAAACTTGATAGTCATTCTCAGCAATATAGATTCTCTCTTTTCTTGATTGGTGAGATGAAAACTTGATATTCATTCTCAGCAATATACTATTATATTTACACTTCCACTCCTTTATATATCAAATCAAGATTAGAGACCGATACCTATAGGCGAACTCCTCAGCTTCAAACATATTGCTGACAAATCGGCAAAAAAAAATATCAACACTGTCATTTAATAAATTTTGATCATGAATTTCAGACAATATTTTGCAGAAAGTGTTATCTTGAAAACTACAATCATCTCGAAATCCTACGAGCGGGGGCCACAAGCTTCTTCTCCCATAGTTATACATGTATGTCTTCGTGTTTGGATTTTTCCTCATTTAATTTTATAAAGTACATTAACTCATTCACATGTTCCCAATAAACATACGGGGGTCGGGGCTCATTTATTTAAACAAATGATTATAAATGTCATTACACTATATTTTAATTTAAAGCCGATCACGACTCTTAAATAGGCATTCGCCATTTTCGATTTTACTATTGACGATGTCAGCACCGGGATGTTCTATTCGCATTCGTTACACCAAACTGCTGTCAGCGTGAAATGGCGATCCGTGTTCGTTGTGGTAATCTTATATTACTTCTGTTAAAATTATGTATATTTGTGTTTGTTTATATACTGCACTGACCTTTGTAACTGTAACGTGTTGTAAGTTTCTTTGGTGTCTTACTCCCCTGCATTCGAGGTACGCGGCTATTTTTTTTTTTCGCTACCGAGTGCTACATAGCATGCGTCCGTCTACCCAGCTGACAATTGATTACACTGAATAGTGATTTAGTTTAGGGCTTTATAATACATAGGTCCCATCGAATATGGCGGACAAATTCCTTTTATGAATCGTGTTCAGTCTTAATTAAATAGTTGAACTTATAAAGCATGCACGGAAGTGGTGTAAAGTCAGAGCAGAATAAAAGACACGCTGGCATTCCTTCAAGACAATTAGTTTGTGTTTTTCTTCTATTTTGAAAATGCATTCATAAAGCAAAGGCGGTGTGGAGTAGGAAGCATATTTCCGAGGTAAAAAAAGCAACACACTCTGATGGAAATAAGTTGTATTCTTAAAATAAATTGAGATTTTTTATAAAATACATTCTCATTCACATACAATGTACACATGTACATGATCAATTTTGTGTCATTCAATGTCTGTGGATTTTAATTAATTTCTATCTAATGGTCCTAAAAAAAGAACAATTTTTAATCGCCATATTTAAAAAAAGCACCCATGTTATGTCTGTAAGGTTTCAAGAACTTCCTTTTTTCCTGAGTGGAACACTAAGATGGTCCTCTAGTAATACATGTCCGCGGTGTCGATACTGGGTGGGTCCTTAGTAAATTCTGAAAAAAAGACATTATCCTCATCATGTTTATACATGTATTCCAAACCAAAATACAATACAGTAATTTCAGTAAAACACGATAATAACAAATACGCTTATATTGAATTGTCGCCTAAGGCGATGAAATTTTCATTCCCCTTGGCTTAAAATTGAATGTGAACTTAACGGATATGACGAATTTCATGTTATAACGGAGCAAATAAAGAATAAAATACATGTATGTATTTTCAAAGTATATTATGATAACGTTATTGGGAAGAACAGGGCCAGAAAAAAATGCCATATAAGTTTCTGAAAAAAAAAGTATCACGTACCCCAGATGTCGAGTTCACCATCCTTATTTATGTCAAAGTTGTTGAGCTGTTGCTGTGCGTATCGCTGTGCGTCTTCGGAAGAGAAGTGGAAATTGTTGAAGAAGAAATAGGCTAATTCGTGAAACTCAAGTTTGGAATCGCCATTCAAGTCGAATTTATCAAACATATCAAAAACTGAGCGTTTGTCTAATGAAGGAGCAGATCGCTGAAAAGAGAAAGAAAATGTGTATTTTAAAAATAGTAAAAGCTTCTAAACAAGAGTTTATCTTACAAGACATAATGATGGATGCAAACTAGTCTAGTCCAGCAATATGGACATGTTTTCACCAGATATAAATTATTTTTTAAAAAATAAACGCCTTCTGAGATGTTTGGTTATATAGGACCACGTGCATAATTATTTTGTTATTTTTGAAATATATTATTCCGCGATACGTATATTGGGTCTCCAAGTCCTTCTTTTACGTGAATCACATGTTGTCATTTAATAAAATTTTAGACAGCAGAACCATTCGAAATACAGCTTACGTCTTTTCCATCTGTAGCAGTCAAAATAAAATATAGTCAAGTACCATTCGGCTCGGGCGTCTGCGAAAACATTGGATTGAAAGTCAAGTTTGAAGCTAAAGTTAGGACCTATACTTGGCACTCTGGGCTATTAGGCAGTAAGGGATTTTTTCGTACCAGCACTTTCTGCAAACAGGATTTACACGGTCTCATCCAAAGCAACAGTCTCCACGTATACCGTAGTGAAATGAACCTGCAACACATAAGGATCAACTCCTTTTCTCCGCGACTACCGCAAACTCTATCAACTGCGCAATGCGGGGCGACTTAATTATTATATATAAATATAGTGAATTTAATTTATTTAAGAGCTAATTTTTCACCTTCAAGTTTGCCATATTATAGGCATTCCTCTTTCCTTATTCACCCTTCTTCTGTAAACTTGTAAGCTATACGTGATGTTGTACATGTAAATGCTAAAGAGGATTTCGTGTGATTACTAGGTGAAATTATATATATTTCACATTCTACGCAGCTAAATTGAAAACAATGTAAGTATTGAAAAATAATGTAATTTTTCATCCAAGTGATATTCAAAAAAATGCAAAGGGTAATTTAATTTATTGCTTTTTCATTGTTATCGACCTTAGTTGTACGATATACTATTACACTCTAAACTTTGATTCGTTTAGAGTTTCCAAGAATTGGTCAATAATACAGCATGATTTATTTATCCGTAAGTTAAGCAGATGTTTTAAACTTTCGACAACAATCTTGATAAAAATCTTTCCAATTCACCAAAGAATGGATTCATTTATTGAGTAAATGTAGAACTAGCGTTACTTTTTCTTCGCGTATTTTTTCTCCTTTAGGATTGGTTATGCACGAATGAATTGCTGCTGTGTCGGAGACTTACATGTAAGTTAGTACATCAAATCCACAATAGATGTTAAAACAAAATACTAAGTAATATATCAAAATTTATATTAGTTAGGAGTTGGGGGACTTCTAAATGAAGAATAAGAAAATGTTAACGTCAGTAAAAATGATAAAAGGTAGTGTATACTGTGAAAACGGCATGTGGATGCGGTAATTTAGTTTAATTCACGGAAGAAAAAAATTATCAATTACATGAACATGCAGTGGCATCAACTAATGAATGCCGATCTATTTAAGTAATTGATTTAACTTAATTATATAACATTAATTTAAAGTTTTGTTTCATCTATAAATAGGAGATAATCCCAGGTTTCATATTTTTTGACGTGATAAGAGAATCGAACACTACGATATGTTCTATTTAGAAATCTCAATACATTGTTAAAAATACTTTAAATAATTAACCTTTCAATTTTAGAGACTAAAAACAACGATCTGAAACCAGAGGCGCACGCAACGTTTTCCGGATCAATTCAACCAATATTTCTATAATTATGGATAAAGACTTGCTATCAAATAACATGAGAAAATAGCAAAAAAAGTTCCAACACAGCTGATTTATTTTCATGTTTCTCGGTGAATGATATGAGTTTAATAATGAATTTCAGATAACTTCCAGTAACTTTATCCCTAGTTGTCGCCATGCCATTTTAGAACTTTGGCTCCTTGCTTATAGTGCATATCTTTGATAAAATTAATTAATTTACATGACGTGTCTAGTGAAGTTTTGATTCAATATGATTACAGATGAAGGGAAATTCAGGCAAAGATCAATGCTGAGCTGTCTTGGTAATTTAACCACCTACAGTGAGGGCTTCGTTAGGGACCCGACTAATAGGCAGAGAATATACATGTAAATATGACCATAAGAAAGCAAATGCATGTTCATGTACATATAGCTTTTGATTTTTATTTTATTCAAGTAGTTTGGTACACCAGAAAAGTTGTCCATCTCATACTATTGTCGTTTACTAATTATTGAATTAGAAATTCAAGTAATGAGTACACGACAATTATATCACAAATAGTATTTTGGCATTTTATATATCGTGTCTTAAAAATCATATAGACATAACGTTCAAAATTATATGATACAAAGAATTGAAAGGAATCATAATTACAATGCAGACATATTCAGATAACAAGTTACTAGTAATCTACATGTTCATGTTTACAACAATCACAAATAAGTAAAATTAAACTTAAAGTTTAAGTATTTTATTATTTTATGTGCAATTTTTCATCTATAAGTAGGGATCACAATTACTATAAAAAAAAATAATCAAGCGAAATCGATTGACCATCAAAAATTAAAAGAAAAAAGACCTCCATAACTGACGCCAGGTTATAAAACACACACACATGTAATTCTATATTTTTAATGAAACACCTTCTCAAGGTTGGAGTCGTCCTATGTAATCACTTTTTTGTGTTAGTTCCTCCAACATACATATACATAGTTCATGAACTATCTAGTATAATATGTTTGAAATTATCTCCTAAATGAAAAGTAATTGTCATTGAGTCTGTATTTAGATTATTAATAATTTTAATACTTGTCTTGGATATCGAGATTCGTAAAAATTTCGGTGTTGTTCTTTAATTGCCCATACTTGCGTTTTCAGGATAATAGAAATAAATCATTTAAAAAACAGATTTAATAAATTCAATTAACAGACATTTCTTTTTCACTGAAAGTGAGAAAAATAACAAAAGTCTTTATATTACAAAAAAGTGTTATATTAAACCTGAATTTCCATTGATTATTTGCTCCTTTCACTTTTTAATCAAAACTCTTTCACTATATATGCCAATCTTATCCTTCTAACAATTAATATTATTCGGTGGAGGTATATTATACGTGAATATTTCAGAAAATATAATTAAATTACATAATATTTTACTCATGCATTAGGACATGTGCATGGAATTGGTATTCATAAATTGACTACAGGAGAAAGAGACTAAGAGGAACTATTACGGTACATAGGCATACTGGGGGTGTATTTAATAAACATGTCAGTATTTAGAATACGACATGTACATGTATACAGCTGTTTGATAGATATACTAATGTCCTTTAATTTTTTTTGATTAACTAGATAAAGACCGACGTGGAATGTAATGTTTAGGAAAACTCTACAATATGAAAACTTTTAATTAAAAAGGGTACAGAGGTAGTGTCGAGTTTGTATATTAGATTTATCAATAAAAACACAATCTCACATATACTTAAATTGTCTTCAGAGAATTTGAAATACATGTATACTCGGAGGCAAAAATTTAACTGACAAATGGATTGAAATGCTAGAAAGATAGCAATTATGGGACAAACAGACGCTAAGGGTTTGTAAAGCATTTCTTTGCCTTTGAAGGACATACTTTTGTAAATTGTATTGAATCACCATGAGTGAATTATAATTTTATATGTTAAATCTTATTGGTTCTAAATGTTTAAATCTAAGAATTGCAAACGATCGAAGGTGAATAGATAAAAGCAAGAAACCATTAACTTAATGAATTTATTTAAGGAATTTTCAAAATGAAACTTGTTCTAACGCTAGTATAAACCAATATACCATTCATTTTATTTAATCAAATACCTACGTTGTAAACTGTTGCTACATATACTTACTTTTTGGACGGACCGCCATTTGGACTTGCTCATGGGCAACGATAACACTACAGCCAACAGCGACATCAAGACAACCAACTTCAGAACCGCCATATTGTTCCGCCGCTGTAAGAAAATAATCCACCTGATTATTGTTATAAAACCACGTTTTTACTCGCTGTTAAACGATACTGTGGTATTGTATGCGATTTGGGGAGTTTATATTCTTTGTCAACCATCTTCAAGTTAATCGATGGCTTCTTTTCCAAATACAACACATTATCGGACTTCTGATTTGAGCGCTTTTTACCATGAGATAGGACACGTGAAGGGGTACGAAACAAATGGTCAATTATGACATGGCAGATGGAAAGCGTTACGTTATCTGCAATTACAAACCAATTCACCACCCAAAGTACTCAAGGATGCTGACTTCGATTATTGTACACTCGTGACAGACGGGTGAAGTACATATTTAATGCTTTGAAGGTCAGTAAATAACATTGTTGACTGGTTTTAATTGTGAGGGGATGGGTCTCGAGTGTCCAGGCATTAGTGTTAATTTCAGCTTAAACAAAGAGATTTATTTGCACGTATCTACGTAATATAATTTAAAAAATAATAGAGTTATATGAAAAAGGAACAAACTGTATAGGGTCATTTAAATGACAGTTTCCACAACAAATGAAGAACTTTACTTGTACCACAGTGCTAAATACGTCATCAATTTTGTTATGAAAGAAAACCGGAAAAGTAACAACATGAAGTAGTTAACGAGTCCATACCTGTACCATGTGTATAGGTTCCATCACAGCTCCTCACGTCAACAACTTTCTCTCAGTACTCGTTTGTGGATTTTATAGTCGGCGATCTGTCGTCATCAGAAACTGATTGGCAGTTAACGGTTCCTTTCACCTATAAATCAATACCTTATCAAAATTTTGTGAAAAGGCTGAAATAAAGTCTTTATGAAGCCACTTCTTGGGCTTTTGAAAGTGATGAGGAGAGTGACTTTGTCAGGCAAGTAGCAGCAAATACATACACACCAAAAGCGTTCACGTCATTCTAGTTAAATTATGTAAAATTTTATTGTTTCAATTCAGATTTTATATTTTTACACATTATGTACATGTATACAATACAATATCGTTTGTTTCAAAATAAAACATTTTAAAAATTCTCTTCTAATTTACTATCCTGAAGAATATAACTTATTTTAATAATTTTGAACAGATCCTTGAGAAATGTTCTGATATCTTCTTCGGTTCTGTGTATTTAGTAAACAAAGAAAATGATAATGACTATCCCTAAATTGTGAAAATGACCACAAGGTCAGGGCTTCTGGAGAATGTGGGAGTGAACTTTTTTATCTTTAAAAATCTTCTTTTCTTCTGCGTATTAAACTAAGTGTGCAGTACTAGTTATGATGGGTAAGAGTACCTCCCAAAAATTTACGAATTTCATGACACTGGGTTCTGTTGATTGGGCGGGGCTGTGTAAATACATAAATTCTCTGAAATCTTTTTTTCTGGGCATCAAGGAGGCAAACAGTGTAAAATTGTATTAAACAAAGATATTGTTTTGTAAGATTTCAAGATTTTTGAAATTCTGGACCGCTTGGTCAAGAGGGTTTTGTAGCTTTCCAGGGATCTATTAATTTATTTTCTACTAACAGAAGAAATGGGCTTATTAATAGTGCTGAAGCACTAGTCTTTTGTATTATTTAGTCTTCGTGGTCATATACATGTAGTAGCAAGTTAGCAACTGGGTGCAAGTAGATCTACTTTTAAATTATGAGTTATTACTGAGCACTAGTCTTATAATTTTGTTGCTCCTTGATCACCATATTTCTCTTGCTGTTAGGCAACATAACTTTCTGTATGATTTTTGTTGGATCCATGACATTTTTAATAAACTCAAGAAAGTGACGATAAGGCCTTAACCCTCTTGTATGAAAATAGGCTTTTCAAGCACCTATAAATCGGCGGAAGAACTCTGCGAAATTACAGTAAACATTTTACATTTTATTGACCGAGTTCGAGGGCAACATGCGTTTTGTCGGACCTAAGAACCAAACTGTCTGCCTGAGGCAGTTAGGCCAAAGGTAGACAGTTTGGTTCGAGGGTCAACAATAAATGTTTTGTTATACCTTTCATTTTATTTTGTTTTTTTTGGCATACATGTATTTTGTACTGTCTTCCGTGATGTAACAACAGGTCCGTCACTGTTGAATTCCAACGAATGAAAATGAGATTAAGCTACACCCTTTCTGTGACGTAAGCGGTCCAACATTCCACTCAGCGGTCAAACATCAATTTTTTATATTCCCGCTCAGCAAAACGTTAAAAATGTTAGACTTTCTATCGTATATATTTGTATAGGAACAAATTTTTAAAGGTAAAACAATAAAATTTCATTAATAGAAATCAAACGTCCATTCTTAGTTCCTTCCCATTGATAAAACAATAAATTAATACAATAAATCAGACGATACAGTTTCCAAATTAATACATTATCATTCAAACTCTTGTATTTGCACTTACTTTTTATAGTAAAATCAAGCAATGAAGTGCAAATATTCCAAGTTTTAAAGACAGATTAGGCCTATCCTCTGTAGCACTAAGTACATGTAAAACCACTAACTAAAGTATCATTTGTCAGTGATAATTTATCGCCTGAGTTAGATTAAATCACAGGTTAACGAATAAATGGACTACATTTTCCTTCCTACATATGTGTTTATTTAGCCAAGTTGATGACATTGAATAACATTACATCAATTTATAAAACAGCAAAGTTTATAATATTATTACGGGAGTTAGCATGATTCTAGTTCGCATAGGTAATCGTTATCATTTTTTAGGCAAACCGGGAGAAACGCTTCAAGAAATGGGGTAACCTACATGTATGTCTGATTAATCCATGATAATTGAACATTTTACTACAACAAAACAAATGTTTGAAAGGTTTATCAACTCCCCAACTCACTATTCCTATTCCTTGTGACAAGACATTCCTTAGGATACCAACAAATTTGGCGTTGGATTTTTGACTTGCACATGAGAGGGTTGAAGTTTCTCAAATGCAAGCCAAACTCGAAGGTAAAAAATGTTGGTATCCCAAGGAAGGTTTTGTCACAAGAAATACACCAGTGAAATATGAAAGTCATTGTACTAACTGTTCAAATGTTATGGCCAATGTTAAAGTTTTTAAAACGCGGATCAGACTAAAGTCAAGGTCAAAAATATTTCCACCCATTGAAAGGTCTTGCCATAATGATATGCATGTACATTAAAAATACTAGTATGAAAGCCTTAGCACCAACTGTTAGAAATTGATGACCAAGGTTAAAGTAGGAAGAGACATGTTTATCAGTTGACCAACTGTCGTCCAATTTTTGTTCTCTGAGTCGCAGGTTGATTTTCACCATCGGTCGAAATTTACGAAAACCAATGCCTAAATGTCGACTGACCTACGACTGATTTAACAAACTGTCTGTGGATGGTCGGACGATGATTGATAATTGTACGACACACTACTCAAGGACTGTTTCAATAGAACGACACACTTTTCAACGACTGTTTCAATAGAATGAATCGGCCACCGACGAAAAAATGGGGTCAAAATCGGACAAGACAACTATGCCTGCTGTCGCCTGAAAAATCCCATTTTTGCCACAATAAAATCGAATTTGGTCGTTTTTGGAAATGTGACGGGGGTTTTAGTGTATATACCGATAGCTTAGTGTGACCGAAGTTGCGTTAGAATGTTCAGATATGAATTATGAAGGACTGTCTCGAGATTCGATGAAAGTTCCATCAAAGAAGAATATGGAAAGATCAGAAAAACACATGCGCTTCGGTATGTACGAAACGAATAATCATCATTGTTCGTCAAGGACAACTAGTATATATATACTCACCGTCAATAGAAACACCCTAATTTAAGGGGTGAACATTATGTACGGGATATAACTATGTACCAAAAAAGTTAGGACATCTTTTACTTTGCCAAATCAGTTATTTAACGGTTGAATGATTTTCATTCCATTACCGGAAGTTGATTTTTAGCCATCTGAACAGAAATCAAAAATAAGCATTTTTAATAAAATTATTGACTATATTTTGGGTTTTCAAGGTTTTGTTCCTGTTAATCATAAGTCTTGTGCTAAAAATCCGGAAAAAATATCCTTCTTTCTCTTCCGGATGTAATGCCTGTATTTCCTCAAACCAACTGAAAACACGCATTTTCATTGATAATGTTGGAAATTCTCAAAATAAAGAAAAGGGAGAGCTACAGATTCAAATATACACTACATAACGACTTTTCGGGCTCATGTGTTTCAAAAGCATGAATGACAGTTCCTTGACCGGAAGTCCAAGGGTTACTACACTACGCCAAGTTAGAGAAAATTCGACCTCAGTATCTGAAAAACAGGCATTTAAAAATGCACAAGAATATTTATTTCGCTCAGATTAAGACATTGATAAACTTAATGCATGGTAGAATTCGGGCTGCTTATGTTGTACATACCGGACTAGCACGTTTGAATTGAATAGTTGGAAGGGGGGATGTTTTAGAGTTTTGTGTTACTTTATAAGGTTCAAACATAAGATTAAGAATGAATTCATAAATGTAAAATGTAAACTTACAAAACAATGATACTTCATTTAAACTTTAAATGTCATCTTTAGACCTTAGAAAGTAACACATAACTTTTAAAAACATCCCCCATTCCGACCATTTGATTAAAACGTCCTAGTCCGGCATGTACAACAAACGAGCCCGAATTCTACCATGCATTAAGTTTATCAATGTCTTAATCTGAGCGAAATAAATATTCTTGTGCATTTTTAAAAGCCTGTTATTCAGATACTGAGGTCGAATTTTCTCTAACTTGGCGTAGTGTAGAAACCCTTGGACTTCCGGTCAAGGAACTCTCATTCATGCTTTTGAAACACATGAGCCCGAAAAGTCGTTATGTAGTGTATATTTACATCTGTAGCTCTCCCTTACAAGTACAAGACTTATGATTAACAGGTACAAAACCTTGAAAACCCAAAATATAGTCAATAATTTTATTAAAATGCTTATTTTTGATTTCTGTTCAGATGGCTAAAAATCAACTTCCGGTAATGGAATGAAAATCATTCAACCGTTAAATAACTGATTTGGCAAAGTAAAAGATGTCCTAAC